CCAGGTGGGTCTGGAATATCTCCAGAGAAGGAGACTCCACAGCCTCCCTGGGCAGCCTGGGCCAGGGCTCCGTCACCCTCAGAGGGAAGAAGTTCTTCCTCATGTTCAGCTGGAGCTTCCTCTGCTTCAGTTTGTGCCCGTTGCCCCTTGTCCTGGCACTGGGCACCACTGGAAAGAGTCTGGCCCCTTCCTCCTGACCCCCACCCTGCAGATATTTAGAGGCATTTCGAAGGTCCCCTCTCAGCCTTCTCTTCTTCAGGCTGAAGTCTTGTCTGTTTTGCCCATGCCAGTGGTTGGTAAGACATCTCCTGCGTGGAGGGGAGCTTGGGACGCGTTTCTCCACTGGTTTTAAAAAGAACCGAGGACTCCTGAGGGTCGGCCATGACACACCGATCCCTGCACCTCAAACCTGTCTCCATCAGAGGAAAGGACTCATGACAGATCTTTCCTGGCTGGGGTTTCTCTCCCCATTTCTCCCCTTTCTCTCCCATCCTTCAAGAGGGAAGAGCAACTTTCCCACTCCCGGGTCTCTGCTTTTCTGGTAATGTCTGTCCCTAACCAGGTCACAGCTTGGAGCTGCCGCATCCCGGTGTGGGGGGGTAAAACAGGGACCGAGACCACCACCACGGGGGGCTTCCAGTGAAAGATGCATAAATGGAATGGGTGGGAACCAGATCTGTAAAAACCATAAGCTAAGGTGCATTATTAGTTATTGAAAAATAAATAAAATCCTTCTTCTCAGCTCCTGGGCCTGAACCGGGTACGGTAGGGAGTTGCCATGGGGCTAAGGCAGAGGAGTTCCACAAGCTCAATGGCTTTCACTCACGATTTTCCCCGTGTGAATGCTTGCTGATTTACGGCCGGTCACTTGGAAGTCTAGTATTTCCCAGCTGCACCATGGGTGGAATTTGTCCCCTTGGGCTCTCTTGGGACCTTTTGCAAAGAGGCTGTCTTTGCATCACCGCAAACCGAAGGAGGAATAAGCTCATGATGTCAAATTTCTTCTGAACAAAAACCAAGTTTTAGGGCACTCTGATGCTCATGACTTCGAATCTTCTCTGAATACAGGAAACGACTAATAGAAAGAAATTTTGGAAGATAAGCAGTATCGAAAACATCCCTTCTCACTGACAGATATTCCTATTTTGTGTAGGATATATTTGTTTGATTTATATTCGTTTCTGTCCTGGTAATTATATGAATATTAGCACCTACTTAATTGTTTTGTTTCTATTTGTTCTCTGCTTTTAATTGATGTTTTTTGTGGATATTTGTCAATATGATTTTCTCCGTCTTAAGATACAGGTTGTGATCTCAGTCCATTATGCCTAGTCTGGAGCTTTCTTAAGCTGTGTTTCCACCACAGCTGTGCAATATATGCATACATTTTATGGCAAGTTCCTGGAAAAAAGGAGGGATCTGAGAAGAACCAGGAATACTCATTGCACAATGTGTGGTAGAGGAAATAATACTTGAATTCCTGCCAAAGACAGCACTAAGTATAAGGCAAAGCATAATGAAATAAACAAAGGGGAAAATGAAGACAGCGCACGGGGACTGGACCAGATAAATAATTTTTTGTTTAAGACACAGGAAGAACCTTCAAGCCAGTGTGTGCTGAAAAAGGACAGAAAAGCCGAGTTTGTTTTAGAGCAGCTAATTCCAGCTCTTATCTTAGTCCGGTTTTTCACAGCTGCGCTTGCTCTTTGCTGGGTGAGCAACACTTTCTCCAGTGATTCCAGAGGGAGCAGGACCAGCCCCTGTGTGATTCGCCCAACTACACATGAGGGTTTAGCACTCTGGGGATATTCTTCTTCACCTGTCCTGCCCAAGCAAATCCTTTGTCATGCAAACACTTTATACTGTCCCTGTTCCCCAATTCTACCTGTACCTCAGCCATGCTGGCAGCTCTTTGGTCTGCATCCCAAGGTACGTGTTCGTGTGCCATCTTTACCGTACCAACACCTGTCTATTCTGTGCTTAGCAAGCTCCGGGGCTTAGGTACTCCTCCTGTGCCATTCACGGTAGACATTTACACCTGTGTAAACACTCTGGCTGTTGTTCACGGCTTCTTGAGGCTGCTACCGGCCCATGAAAGAGCAGAGCTTTCACGGGAGCTGTATTATGTGAAAGTGAACTCCAGCAAGGTCCAGAGGTACTGCTTATACCTACAAATCCTCCCTCCGTTATGTCCTAAGACTATCATAAGAAACAGCAATACTTCTGTTGTTAAGGTATTTTACTTTTCCCTTCTATTGCTGAAGAAAACTTCAGTTAGAAATAAAATAAAGTATTTGGGGTGGGAGGGGTTCCTGCAGTGCCAGGTGACCCCGCTACAAACACAGAGATCCTGTAAACACAGTCGGTGGAGCTGAGAGCGTAACTAGGTCAGGGGAGAAGACAGTGGGGAGGCATCATGGTTTTAGTGAAACCTCTCCTGAAACAATATTGTAATCAACCATCAAAAGTTCTCCAAACCTTGTTCACTAACATGAAACGGCTTCGGTGAAAGTGCTGCCCTGTAAAAAGAAAAACAAACAAAAAAGAAAGGCTGTGACTGCCTGTTATTTATCTGAATGTTCTAATCAGAACATGTTCCCTTCTTTCTCTGATTTAGACCTAGCTTCAAAAAAGCAGATTTAGATCCCCCAAAAGACTCATTCACTAACCAAAGGGAGGAAGAGTTCATTAGGTTGGGTCCAGGGCATGGGGGCCCTCTTTCCCCTTGGGCTGCCTGGGGAGGTCGGCATCTCCAGCCCCTTCTGACCCCCCGTGTCCCGCTGCCTGAGCCCTCCCCACTCCCACCAGCACCTGGTTTTCGCACAGTTGGTAGCTGAGGTAGCTGCAGCAAAACCCATCTCTGCTGGGAGCAGCCTCCCATGGGCTCCACATTGCACGGGAGCCCTCCAGGCTTGGCCTCAAGTCCTGGGTAGGGACATGTTGGTATGCAGGGTCCACACCTGGCTGACATCCAGGGTCACTCCTCCTCCCCTGCCGTGCCGGGGATGAGGAGAGGTCACTCCTCCTCCCCTGCCGTGCCGGGGATGAGGAGAGGCATCAGCCCCGAGGAGAGACAAGGACGCAGTCCCCATCACAGTCCCAGGCAGTGGAGACACGTCACCAGCCCAGCCTCTTGCCCCTCCGCTCTGGCCCACGGGAGCAGCCCCGGCCTCCCTCCCCTTGCCGGCAGGGATTCAATCAGCCGTCTCCGCAGCCTCCACGGGCAGGCAGCTCCCCTCCTTGCACACAATTTTCACTTTGAACACTCAGGGCAGGGTAGCTGCCATGGAGCCATGGAACCGGTGCTGCTGGTAGCTCCCCAACAGGAGGTAAATTAATGGGTTAATGCTGCTTTTTGCAGCCGGCAGCAAGGACGGTGAACTTATCCCAAGTTCATCATGTTCGATGAACAAGCCTTCCAAAATTTGCTGGACAGCTTTGTCCCACCGTGCGAGGGGCTTCTGGCTTTCACTGTGTGTACCTGGCGCTGCACCAGGAGACCCTCCATGTTGGGAAGTCACCAGTGTGTGGACACGCAACAGCAGAAGGGCTTCACCCGCTGCCTCTGATGAACACCCCAGGCACGTCACCTTAGAGATTGCGTCTGCGGGTTACACAGGGCTGCAAATGGGATTTTGTCTGCAAGATTCTTGTCTCACCGAACCTCATCCGTCAGCACCACAGAGACAGCTCACTTTTCTCTGTATTTCTTGCTCTGTCTCTCTTTCTCTCTTTCTTTCTCTCTCTTTCTCTCTCTCTCTTTCTTTCTCTCTCTTTCTCTCTCTCTCTCTTTCTCTCTTTCATTCTCTCTCAGTTTCCTTCTTTCTTTCTTTCTCTTTCTTTCTCATTCTTCAAATTGTAATTTTGCCCTATATGTCATATTCTCTACTCCACTAATACCCCAATCACTCACCAGGACCCATTGGCTTGCCCAATTTTGCAATCTTTTTTGAAGAGCCCTGACTTCTTGAACAGCAGAGATGCCCAGACCTCACCCAGGGCCTACCTCAAGCAAGAGATCGCCCAAAACACCACGAAACTTATCTGCTGAGCCAAAGGAGCCAGAGTTTATTAACAGTGGCGAGAGCAATGAGGGTCATTGCAGTGGGGAGTACAGCCCAGGCACAGGCACAGAGCCTGGCTGAGCAGTGCTGCGCCGGGTCTGTGCCACAAACCTCCACGCTGAGCTGCAGCGTTGTTCCCCACCCCGGGAGCAGGCAGGCACTGAGCGCATGGGGACCGCCATCCTTCTGGCTGTCTGCGAGACCCCACATCTCCAGGCATCCCCGACAGCAGTGCCTTATACAGTGGTCTCCACCACAGTGCCCTCGGGCACACGGCTCTCCTCCTCGCTCACCACTTTCTCTTCAAACACTCGGCGGAAGGCGAGTTTCACCGAGCCTTGGAACCGGCGCTGCCGACAGCTCCCCACCAGAAAGTAAATGACTGGATTGATGCCGCAGTCCAGCAATGCCAGCAGAAAAGATGTCTTTTCAGGAAGCAATTCGTGTGAGCTTGGAAGGTTGAGGAAAACCTCTACACTGAAAGGAATACCGAGGGCAAAGAAGAAGATCACGTTGAGAAGGACAGCAACATAGAGTTTCCCTGGATGTCGTCTCTGTGAGCCATGTCGGAGTTTGATGAACAGGGACAGGTTGGAAATCAATATCATTGACGAGAAAATCATGGAAATTGCAATGGCTACACCTGCAAATATTGTCTCATAGCTCTCAGCAAAGTTAATGCTGAGATACAAAGAGGAAACAAAAAATCCAGCGAGAGCCCAGAGCACCCCACTCACAATGCCTGATAAGTGCTTTGGGCGGTGGCAGCGATACCAGATTGGGAAGATGACGGAGATACACCGCTCCACACTGATTGCTGTCAGGAGACCCAGGCTGCTAAGGTCAAAGAAGTGGCAGAGAACTTCAACTACAAATACAAACTCTACACAGGAAGAAATAAAAGAATATGAAGAACAGGTTGTTGTTAAGCTCAAAATTACTGACATGAGCAGAAAAAACAGGACGAGCAGAGAGAAGTCAGCAACAGCTAGATTTAGGATGTAGACAGTGAAAGGGTTCCGTTTCATGTGGAAGCCCAGGAACCATATGACTCTCCCATTCCCCACAAGTCCACAGACAGAAATCCCCATACAGATGCCTGCAAAGACCATCAAATCGTGAGGTAGGCTTAAGCATTCGTATTCGATATTTTCCCCATAGCCCACATATCCAGCAGTCGTGTAGTTCAAAGAGAGGTCTGTTGTGTTGGTCTCCTCCATGGTGAATGACCCTGCTCCGGGTGGCTGCCTTCTCCCTCTCCCACCACCTCCTAGGACAGATGAGGAATGAGAAGGAAATGAAGGGCATCAGTGCTCCCAGCACTCGCCGTCTCTCCCCACAGCCCCATGCCAGCCCCAGGCTGCACCAGAAACGACCCCGTCCCCTGCCGTGCCCAGGACAGGCTCCCACCCCTCCCGGCCCGTCCCT